AGCTTCAACAAGTGTCGACTCATAGCCAGACTTGTTTCACTATACTCCCACTGACTTACCAAGCCATTTTTTCTCAACAGATTTTTTTGAAGCAAATTCATGGGCCTCTTATGTTCTTACTGTTCTTGCTGGGTAGATGAAGATGGCAAGGTCCTGACTTTTTTTTACCAGGTCCATTTCTCAAAGTGGGTTATGTACTCAGGAACCTTAAGAAATGAAGTAACATCTCCTCCCCACCCCTCCACACACCACTTCAGCCCTGGACAAGGAGTAGGTTTTTGCTCTTGCTCTTACTGCTTGCTATAAAACTAGTGAGTTTCCCAAGATCAGTTTTCCATAGCTGTGAAGCAACGCAGTGCATGTGCGGGCATCTCCTGGACCCATCTGTGTTACCCCAGTGGCACCCGAGAGCAAGATGCCGATGTTTGTGCTGGTTATTATGTCATGAGTAATAAAGACCTTTGTCTCTGACCCAAGGCCTTGAGTATTCTCTCAGGCTCCACAAAAAATAAACCATTGTAGGTTAGGTAAAATCAATCTCAGATCCAACATGTATCATTTTATCTGTACATATTTTAGTATACAGCTCTAAGATATAAGAACTCAAAAAAAAAAAAAAAAACCCAGGTAAGATGACTAAATTCTACAGATCTGCTACATGACATTGTTCCTTAAGAACACTGTATTATGCACTTCAAAATTTGTTAAGAGGAAAGATTTCATATTAAATGTTCTTACCACAATAGAAAAATCACTATTATTGCATATAAAAAACAGACAATAATTCTTTAATAGCATTGAATATCCCCAATCGTCTTAAATTCCCCCACTTATTTCTCTCTCTCTCTTTTTCAGTGTATTCAGTTGGCATACAAATAATTGTATTGAATTATATGAACTTTTAAAAATTTACTATGATAAATATATACATATATAACATAGAATTTGTACAGTTTTTTTAAAGTGTACAGTTCAGTGGCATTAATGAGTCACCATGTACCACCATCACCACCTGTTTCTAAAACATCTACATCTCAGTGATTTGAATCCTTAGTATCTTTTAATCTATTTGTTTTCCTTTCCCATTGTGTTTTTCCTTGAAATTTATTTGTTGAATAAAACTAAGTTATTTATACTACACACTTTCCCAAAGTTTGGATTTTGCTGTTTTCATAACTGTTTCATAAGCCTCCATGAAGAGGCATATCATATCTGTTTCCCTTTTTGTGGTGTTAAAAGTCATTTGTGAACTTCCCAGGTGGCACAGTGGATGAGTCGGCCTGCCAGTGCAGGGGACACAGGTTTGATCCCTGGTCCAGGAAGATGCCACATGCCGTGGAGTAACTAAGCCTGTGCACCCCAACTACTGAGCCCACGCTCTAGAGCCCAGGAGCCACAACTACTGATCCCACATGATGCAAGTACTGCAGCCCGCAAGCCTAGAGCCCGTGCTCCACAATAAGAGATGCCACGGCAATGAGAAGCCTGCACATCACAACAAAGAGTGGCCTCTGCTCCCTGGAGCTAAAGAAAGCCCTCTCACAGCAACGAAGACCAGCTCAGTCAAATGAATAAAAGAATAAGTAAAGTAGCACTCGAAAAAAAAGGTCATTTATGACCATTGTTTAGATCCTTTAGTTTTTAGGTGTGCAAAACGGTGATACTTAAATTCTATCACTGCTTTTTAATGGGTATAATACATCCAGAGAGGAGCAGTTGCATAGTACTCCATTGTATAGATATGTATTGCACCTGTTTAAACAGAATGTTTCGTGAGTCAGAAGATCCTATTTAGCAAACACATTTTTATTGTGATTGGTTTTCAAACACGAGAGAGAATTTTGTTGTTGTTTTTGCTGTTTTTTGTTTTAGTCTCACAAAAGGTACAGAATGTACTCAAGACTAAAGTTGCATTTGCAGAAAAGTTAAAAACTACTTCTATATGATAATATGAGTAAAATTTTCACCCTTCAAAATAATTTTTATCATTAAAATGAGTCTTTTATTAAAAGGTACCCTAGAGTCATGAATCTGGAAAGAAACAATCTTAGTATGGACAAGCAGTTTCAGTCTCCTTTTCTTACAAAGAGTGCTGAGAGCTGGGGAGAGCCTCCTTTACATGTTTCTTTTTTTATGCGTGGTTCTAAAATTAAGCACAGTGCTTTTTTTGGTGATAGTACATGCCAGGATGGCATATCAGAACATTTTCATTAGATCAACACTGAGACACATCTGTTCAAGTGAATCATTCATCCCTCCTGTAGCAGGGATAAGAAATTAAAAAACTATCATACGGATTGAATCACATGATCCCTATCCTTTTGCCACTTAAAGTAGTAATTAAGCTTTCACTTTATCCCTTACCATAACACCTGTTAACTCACATTTGGTATTTGCTGAAACTTCTATGTGCTGGGAATTACAGTAGGTGAAAGGTCATGTGACAAAATAGTTCTTAAAATTTTGAAATTTGCAAGAATTATTTCTTTCTCTGAGTCTCTCTCTCCACTCAAAGGGACCAACAGTCCCCTTTTGGTCCACATGCATATTTGATAATATAGTATAATTTTATGTCAAAAACCCTGTTGTTTTCATGTTAAAAATGAAAGAAAGCAAAGATCAACTAGATTAGCACGACCTGTGGGGAAGTGAATTCAAAAGCCTACCTTCTAAATCAAAAAGTGAATGTGGGAAGCCTGCTATATATGTTTATCAGTGCAACTTAAATTTGTTTGTTTTAGAAAAATATTGCTATGAAACAAATGATTCCATTGATGGCTGGAAACACATACTTATCACCCCACAGTTTCTGTGGGTCAGGAATCCAGGCTTAGCTGGGGGCCTCTGGCTCAGGGTCACCCACGAGACTGCCATCAAGCTGTGGGCGGGAGCTGGATAGTCATCTCAAGGCTTGATATGGGGAAAAGCCACCTTCAAGTTCCCCCATGGGGCTGTTTTGCATGCCTCAGAAGATCCATTTCCAACTTCAGTCACACTGGCCTCTCCACAGACAGCCCAGAGACATAGAGAAGATGGTTGCCTCCAGAGTGAGCAATCCAGAGAGCAAGAGAGAGTACCTGAGACAGAGGCCACAGAGTGACAGCCCGTCACATCTTCCATATTCTACCCCTTAGAAAGGAGTCCTATGTGCAGCCCAAAGGGAAGGGGATCGCACAAGGTATGAACACCAGGAAACAGCGGTCAGGGGTGGCCATCTTAGAGGCTGCCTACTTCAGTTTGTTTATTTTAAATATAAATTCTAAAAACAGAAACTTCGTCCTCATAGTTAAAATTTTTAAATATACCAGAGGGTATGTAGTAAGACTTCTCCCTCACCTCCCTGTCACTCAGTCCCCTCATTGAGCAAACACTCATCAGTTTCCTGTGGCTCTTCTCACAGGCTTTCTGTTAAATGGGAAGTTGAAAGAGTGGGGCTCCATGGGTATGAACAGAAGCCGCCGTCATCGCCTTTCCTCCATCTTGCCAGTTCAGTCCTGCTTTGCGGAGATAACTCTCCCCCACCTCTTGGGTGCACTGTGAGGTGGTTACTATGCCTTTTCCTCTCCCTATCAGATAATAAGCAGTCCTCCAGATACTTTTAGTCATAACATGGCTTCATATCAGAAGGAAATGTTGAGTAGCAGTTGAACTGACTGAACTTTAAAGTTCAAGCTTCTGCCCTGTCCTCTCTCTGGCCTCCTTCAGGCTGGATGCCTGCTGTGAGGAAAGGTGGGAGTCTGTGGTCAGCTCCTCTCTTTCTCTATTTTGTACTTCAACACCTGCTCTTCTGCCTCCTTCTGGCTCCATTGGGTTGCCTTTGTCTCTCTCTGGGTTAGGGGATGGGAAACCAAGAAAGGAGCTCTTCTTTTTTCAGAGTCAGTTCTTCTGGCTGTTGTACAGATTTCCTTCTGGAAACACTCAACTGTAGCTTTCCTGATGTTTCCAAAGTCTCTCTTTCATTTCGAAAGCAGCCTCCTGTCAGTGAGTCTCACTGGAGAGTGTTGCTGCAGGACATGTTAACCATGCAGCAGAACGTTTACACGTGTCTAGATTCTGGTGCTTGCTATGAGGTAACTTGATAGATTTTAGTATTTCCTTTTAATTTTTAAATTTTGGTTGTTAGATTTTGTTGATTGAACACAAAGATGATGACCGGAAGCTTCACTCTAAGTAACAGGAATGAATTGTTGACTGATAGTTGGTAACTGAGTAGTGCTTCAGAGTTTGAGCACTTTCATATCACGTTTCTGATTTCTTTGTTCTTTGCCACACATTTATTTAGTGGGTTAATTCTCAGCTGGAAAACTCCAACTTGTACGTCAAGTACAAGCCTCTCTTCCGTAGTTTTGGTGATCACCAAAAACGAATTCATCATAGTCAGGCTTCCCTTGTAGCTCAGATGGTAAAGAATCTGCCTGCAGTGCAGGAGACCTGGGTTCGATCCCTGGGTTGGGAAGATCCCCTGGAGAAGGAAATGGCAACCCACTCCAGTATCCCTGCTTGGAAAATCCTGTGGACAGAGGAGCTTGGTGGGCTGCAGTCCATGCAAAGAGCTGGGCACGACTGAGCGACTAACACACACCAGCTACTTTGTGCTGAGGGCTTCCCAGGTGGGTGGTGCTAGTGGTAAAGAACCCACCTGCCAATGCAAGAAACATGAGATGTGTGTTCAATCCTTAGGTTGGGAAGATTCCCTGGAGGAGGGCATGGCAACCCACTCCAGTATTCCTGCCTCGAGAATCCCCATGGACCAAGGAGCCTGGTGGATACAGTCCATAAGGTCACAAACAGTTGAAAGTGACTTAACATGCACACATGCAAACACTTTGAAGCTGAGGTCACTCCTTGAAGCCTGAGCAAGGACCCCTCTAGGACAGCTCAGGTGGACAGGCTTTCTCTCTCTCTCAGCCTCCATCTGGTCCTGGAAAACTTACACACCTTTCAGAATATCCTAGAGTATTTTGAGAAACAATTAAGACTGTTCTTGCTCCAGGAGGGTTTTAATTTCTCATATTATCTCGCTCAGTTCCTTTAGGAATGATCATATCCTGGGAACAAGGAATGTCCAATGTATTACTCCAGGAGTTAAAACCCAAAAGCGGGTTTGTATCTGTTGGTTGATCGAATGCTTGTTTTGCGTGGGTAGGAAGTGAAAGACTTTTCTTGTAGAACATACTTTCCACATGTTGAGATACCTTTGAAGACAAAATATGGTAATTAAATCTATGAATCCTTTCAATAACACAGCATATTCTTCAAAGATACAGGTGGTAGGGAGGCTGAGGTAATTCCAGGCATAGGGCATCTACACAATTGTGGAGGACACAATTCTAGGATGTGGCGGGCTTTTTATTCCGGAATTATAGTGTTTGTGATGTAAAACTGGGTATAGAGATGGTAGGAACTTACCAATTCCTGTTCTTGGTCCTGCTGTGGTTCATCAAGGCACATGATTATTTCACTCAGCATTCCCCCAGCTTTCCCTTTTCCAAGGGTCCCACAAGAGTTCCCACAGACACCGGACTCCACCATCACAGCACCCAGCCCATCCTTCTCCGGCTGAGGCTGAAACTGTTTAGAACCTCAGCACACAGCTGGCCTCCAGTGGGCTTTGTTTTGAGACATAAATAAGGTGGCTCTGGGACTTGGTACATACTCACTTGCTCAGTTGTGTCTGACTCTTTTGAGACCCCATGGACTGAAGCCAGCCAGACTCTTCTGTCCATAGGATTCTTTAGGCAAGAATATCGGAGTGGGCTGCCATTTCCTTCTCCAGGGGATCTTCCTGACCCAGGGATCAAACCCGATTCTCCTGCATTTGCAGGCAGATATTTTATCACCAAGTCACCAGGGAAGCCCGGGCGACTTGGGGGCCAGAACTAACCTGCATGCTCGTGCACAAACCTGACCCTGAGGGGGACCCAGGAGATTTCTGTATTGTTCACATTGCTGCAGCTCAAACACCAAGCTCCCTCCATTCTCATAATATCTGAGTTCTCAAATTCCAGTGTTTTCTTCTCCTACCCCCTCCTTTTGTGCCCAGTCCAGGTCTATCTCCTAGGTTTCTGTTCTGAAGCGTGGGTTTCCTCCTTCTTAGCAGTTAGTTCTTGCTGTAATGGAATTTTGCCCTTGATTCCCGTTTTGGAGATGGAGATGCACTCCTGCTTGCTCACATTCTGAGACGTTCAGATGTTGCTCAGAAACTTTCACTTTTCCTGCTTCAGTTGGACCCCTGGGCAATCCCAAACCCAAGGACTCTGTAAATGTTCTATTTGGTTGAACATCTGGCATCAGTGGGATCTCCCCCCAACCCTTTCCCCTTTCCCCACAACTTCTGTGGAAGCCCTGCCTTGTTATGCTGGCAGATGGAGCCTGGGATGTAATAGCTCAGTTGGCCTGCATGGAGGCATTTACATATATCAGGAGCAGAAGAAATGACTACAGCCTCATGAAAATGATATAGAGGGGTAATGTTAATAGCAAGTGAGGAGAAGATTAAGAATGACTTGCAGTTGGCCACATTATAAAGACAAAAAAACCCCAAAACAAAAACACAACCAAAGTGATAAATCAAAGCAAAGAAAATCTGATTTGAGGAAAAAGAACCATGCAGTATTATTGTAAGTATTCCAAGAGATATAGTATCCTCACTAAAGAAAAACAAATCATGTAAAAGTGAATATCATATTGTACCAATGTTAATTCCTTAGCTTTGACAAATGTGCTTTCCCAGTTAACACAGGGAAAAACTAGATGAACTCTCTGCACTCTATTCATAACTTTTCTGTATCTAAAGTTACTGCAGAATAAGAAGTTGAAAAAAAACACCACCAATGGAAACCTTGAAGTATTTGCATTAGAAATAAAGAACTTCTTTACCCTAAAAAGTTTAGATAAATAAAAATGGTTTTTGAAGGACATTTTAGAAACTCAGTACCTGGCCTGAATATATTGTAAATAGGTAGAGTACTATATAAATTCTGAAAGAATTAGTTGAGGCCTCTTGGTTTTGATTTTAGGAAGCTCATTCTTTCAACAAATAATTATTGACCTGTTACGGGTTTTGCACATCCTGAGATTATTCAGTCAACAAAACAGACAAAGATCCCTGCTCTAATTGAGCTTATATTCTAGTGGGGTCAGAGAGAAATAAAAAATAAATATAAAGGTAATAAATGAGTAAACTATATTGTATGATTGAAGGTGATAGGTGCTATGGGGGAAAAGAGAAGAGCAGAAAAAGGGATGGCAGGAGGATGTATGGGGACTGGGCTGTGTGCAATTTTAAGTAGCATGAACCACACAAACCTCATTGAGATGGGAGAGTAGAGCAAAGATGAAGGGAGCAAAGCATGAGGATGTCTGGGGGGGGTGGGGGGAGCACCACAGCCAGAGAGAGATGCGCTAAGGTGGAGCCTGCCTAGATGTTCAAACAGCATCCAGAGGTGAATGGGCAAAAGCAGTAACTGATGGAGAGAGATGTCAAGATGAGGTCAGGAAGGCAAGGGTGGTGACGGGTGGGGAGGAGCGCAAATAATATATGACTTTGAAAGAGATGGGAAGCTACTGCAGATTTTGAGCAGAAGAGTACCATGATCTGTCATGTATTAGAAGAATCATTCTTTACTATTGTGTGAATAGTCTCTGGGTAGGCAGGAGCAGAGCAGGAAGAAGAGTTAGAAGGCTAATTCAGTGATCCAATGAGAGACAGTATTGCCTTAGACCAGAATGAAGCAGTGGGGGTAGTGGTGAGAAAAGATGCTATGGCTTATTTCAGCTCTTGAGACCAACTGTTAACCTTATAAGAAGTTTGCAAGCAAATTGTTAAAAATACCATAATTACACATTCATTGGCTGTTCTGGTCTTTGTGGCTGCTCTCTAGCTGCGGTGCACAGGCTTCTCATTGTGATGGTCTCTCTTACTGTGGAGCATGGGCTCTAGGCCCACAGGCTTCAATAGTTGCAGCCTAAGGACTCAGAAGTTGTGGTTCCTGGGCTGTAGAGTGCAAGCTCAATAGTTGTGGCCTAGTTGCTTCATAGCACGTAGGATCTGTCAGGATCAGGGATCGAACCCATGTTTCCTGCATCAGCAGGTGAATTCTTTACCACTGAGCCACCGGGGAAGCCCTAAAAATGCCATTATTAAAAACTAAATGATATAAAGTTACAGTTAGATATATAGAAAGCTAAAGTATTAATATTAAATAGGCTTCCTAGGGGGCTCAGTGGTAAAGAATCTGCCTGCAAAGCAGGAGATGTGGTTTCAATCCCTAGGTTGGGAAGATTCCCTGGAGAAGGAAATGGCAACCCACTGCAGTAATATTGCCTGCGAAATCTCATGGATAGAGGATCCTGGCAGACTACGTTACAGTCCATGGGGTCGCACCCAAAGACTCAGACATGATTTAGCAACTAAAGAACAACAAAATGTTAAATGTTCCAAACTACCACTTAATTATTTTATCTACTTATTTTACTATAATTGTTTATTATCATCACTGTTTTTGAGGTTGTTTACACCTGTGCTATCCACATGGTGAAGGGAGTCTAAAATAGGGTGCTGTTGTGCATCTCTTCCCAATCCTGTATTCAGCTCCATTTGGAGTTTGTCAGCCATGGTGGGAATATTTTACACTACAGAAATTGGCAAATACTGTGAATCAGGGTTCATTTTTAAAGAGAGCAGATCGTTAAACATGGACCAATACACCATTGCTTGGTGCCTTTCCAACTGAACCTAGGGACATGTACCATGCCCCGTCTGATGTTTTCATGTTCCCTTATTTTATCATGCCCATACCCATAGAGGGCAAAAGTTTAGTAAAGAGGTTAGACAGGTATTGTTAATATTACCACCAAGGAAAGTAACATATTTCTCTTAAGCTTCATAACATTAATGCACGTTTAGTTATGAAAAATCACCTTACCTGTGACTGAATCTTCAGTGCTGGTCCCAACTTTAATCCCATAGCACTTCGAAGATGTTCCTCTGTGAGTAATGGCAAAGTCTCTCCATCAATTGCATGATCTTTAAATACCTTATTAAACATAAAAGATGTCAACTTTGTTTAAATGTCTTTTAAAAAAAAATCTTGTTTCACATATAGATTTTCAGCTTTGGGAGAAACATTAGGACTGCTTGAGGATGACACAAAAATTGTAACATTTCTTATTTTCAGTTACTCTCTTTTCTGTGCTTCAATGGCCTGTTGTTTGTGTTCTTTAACAACCCTTGGAGTACATTGCAGTTCTCTCTATGAAAGTGAAAAGTATGAAAGTGTTAGTGACTCAGTTGTGTCTGACTCCTTGTGACCCCATGGACTGTAGCCCACCAGGGTCCTCTGTCCGTGGGATTTCCCAGGCAAGAATATGGGAGTGGGTTATCATTTTCTTCTTCAGGGGATCTTTCTGACCCAGGAATCGAACCTGGATCTCCTGCATTGCATGCAGATTCTTTACTGTATAAGCCACCCAATTCTCTCAATATAGAACTCAATTTCAACATGGAATAGTTTTTACTTGAGGGCAGGCCTATGTTTTGCTCACTGATGTATCTGTAATGCAGTGCCTGGTACAAAACAGATGTGCAGTCGTCTTTGCTGGACAAATCAATAAATGAACAAATAGTCTGAGTGAAAGGATATGGGTAAAAACCATTTCAGGCAAATTTCAAACTCTCACATTTACACAGGGCCTCTGTGCCCTGCCTTAGATGAGCAGTGAAGGGAGGAGAGGAAAATGCAGGCGAGAGCTGTTGATAACACCAGCAATTGCTGGGAGGGGAACCAACTTTAGTGAGGAAACAAGAGCAGGACTTGATCCTAAACACATTTGAGAAACACCTAGAAATAATTGTGCCACTCCTAGGGGTGGGGAAGGAAGCTCTGGCATCCTGTTGGTAAGAGATAATGAATCAGTAAAGTTTGGGGTCTTTGAGTTTATGTGGCTTCTTGGTACCCACAAGGAGACATTTGGGATTATAAAGTATGAAATGCATGTAATATTATTTATTACAAGAGTGGTTATTATAACTGGATTTTTATGACTGTGAATCACTTACTGATGAAAAATGGCGAGTTCAAACAGATTCAGTCCATCAGAAGTCAGCAACGAAACATTCATTCTACATGGGATTTCATGCTTCCGGCTATCAGAATTTTGTAACTCCATTGAAGCAGTGGTTGATGTGGCACTTGATAAGTGGCACAGATAAATTTATAAAGTGACTTACTTACAGTTTATGACTAGTAATAAAATAATAAGGTTATACTCCTTGAGTTAGGAAAAAAATAGAACAAACATTTTTAGCAGGTATGCAAAAACATAAAGTAAGTGACTTGAAAATACAACTTGCCTCATAAGTAACTTGAGATTCTGCGTTCTCTAGAAGCCTCAGATATAATGATGAAATTAGAATATATTGAGTACTTACTAGGTGCCAGGCACTTATTAATACAATGGTCCTTTGAGAAAGTATTATACTATTATCCCCATTTACAGATAAAAAACTGAGACACCAAGGAGAGAGGCAACTTGTCCTAGGTCACATGTCCAGAGAGTGGAAAAGCCAGGATTTGAACTTGTACTTTCATAAGCCATACTCTTAATTACTACTCTGTGACTTTACCATTGGTCCCATGAAAAGAACAAAGGGAGAAAGAAAGAGGAAAGAAAAGAAAAGAAGAATTTAACAGCATTACACTGAAGGAAAATACCACAAAATAAGATCTGAAAACAGTTATCTCTAACATCAATTAATTATGATATAGTTAAATGATAATGTCCTTTTCTTGCTTTCTTTTCCTTTAATATATAAACCAAAGATAATGATGTTAGATTTAGTTGGTATATTGTTGCTTGGAATAGTGTTATTAAAATCACTTGAAAAAGTAAACTATATACTTGAAAATGTAACATTGACATAAACCTCAAAAACTTGCCAGCCCACTATTTTTATCTCTGGTTTTCCCATTTTTATCACTGATAAGTGACACTGGTTTTACTTTCCAACTATCCTAGCAGTTCATTATAATTTAAAAAATAGTATTTATCTATCAGATTGAATTATATGTGTAGACATTTTAACACATTGCTCTAGCACAAAAAAGGAATTTTAAAATAATTAATTTCCTACTTTCCAAATGTATTTCCTTCTTGTCCTTTTTAGAATAAAGTACATATTTCTGTTATTATGACTAGTAGCCTAAAACTTCTGATACAGAAGTACATACCTCCAAAATGTTTGCTAAATGGATGAATTGGGACTATAGTAGATAGCTCTCATTCTTCTTGGATGTTTGACCTTTGAACCTCCTAATTTGGGGAGAATCCCTACATCTCAGAGGAGATGAAACTAAATGAGGAGATGAGGAGACTGAAACTAAAGCCAGACACTGGCTTTCCTAGTTTCCCCTGAAGCTGGGGTGTGGGCACATGACTCAAGCTCCATCAGTTGGAGGCTTCTGTTCCAGGGGAGCCAATGACATAAAAATGAAGAGATCATTAGGAATGCTCTTTGGGGTCAAAATCAAGTTAGATAGAACTTGTTATGAAGGAAGTATATTTCAAAATGTCTTTTTTTTTTAAAAGTCACTTTACTTAAAAAAAAAATATTTAAATGTTACATCACCTGAGCATAGTCTGAACAACCCGGAAGGCCACTAATGAAGTTGTACACATCATTCACGGTCCATTTCTGAATATCTTCATTCAAAGATAGATTTTCCTTGATTGTAAGCAGGACGTGTGTTCCTTTAAAATGGAAAGGAAATTATTTTGTGGGAAAGGGTGAAGCTAAGAGTACAGTTTTATATATAGTTATATTAATTGCCTCATATTCTACTATCACAGAGCAGCTCCTTGATGTAGATCTATACGTAACTCCCTTAAAAGGTATTAAGTTATGGAGAGATGATTTCTAAAGAAGCTTAGCTGTCTCCTTTCTTTTCTTCCTCTAAAGGATCTTTAATGACTGCCTTATCATAAATAAAAACAAAGTTTCAGCTTCTCTCAGATTTCAAAAGAAATACCTTGTGGATTTCATTCTCCAGATTAACACCATGTTCTATGATGTTACGTGATTTATGATGTTCTCTAAGCCACACAAGAATTTAGCTCCATCTTCATCAAAATGGCAAATTAATACTTTGTCAGGGAAACAGCTGGTGTGGTGGCTAAATTACACATACCCTAATCCCTGTGTTTTAAAATATTTTTATCTAAAGAAATTCCAGTTGTTGTTTTTTAATCTAAAAAAGTTCTAGAAAACTATTCAGTGTGTTTGGCAGGGGATAGTGTGTTAATACTTTTAGGTTAAACTGTATCATAACAATAATGAACATTGAAAGAGATTCTGTTTGTCTATTTTTTCCATTACTACACCTAAATACAGGGGAGAGTGAATTATACTTCTAAGAAAGAAGCCCCTCTATTTTGTGCTGAAGATACTAAATTAGATTAAAATTTTAATTAAAAATTCTGGAAGGTTTTCCCATCCTTCCTCATATTTATACCTTTCTAGACTTCACTGAAAATTCTCTATATAATAATATATAAAAAGAGGTACATTTCACTGTTTTGGCTGATTGGAACTAATGTAATAAGTTTTTCAAGAGGGGGTAATCCTAAGTAGGATGGATAAAAAGAAAGACAATGGTTACAGATCACTGTGTAATAATTTCCCGGGCCTGACAACCTGTGGTTCCTGGGGATTGGCCCCTGGACCCCTACCTGGCTGAGTTGATCCACGAGCTGGGGGGTACACCCCATTCTTTTCTCCACAGGCTGCCAAACCATGCTCTGAGGCCTTCTCCTTCCCGTCGTCCCAAGCCTTTTCTTCCAGGGGGGTTCCCTGAGTTCCCCAGGGCTTTCTGTGGCTGGGCTCCAGCTCTCCACAGGTGTCAGCAAGAGCTGTAGGTGGCTTTTCACTGGTTTCACCCAATGTGTGATTGTCCAGAGCCTCCATTTCTGGGTCTTTGGTATGCTCGTTCTCTTCATAGAGAACTGCACGGGTTTGGCCTAGGGGCTTTTCTTCTACTTGACGTTTAGAACTCTCAGGGTCACTGTCTAGAACTTTCTGACTCCCGGTACCTCTCCTGAGACGACGACATTTCTGCCCCCAGTTCTCTGTAAAGTGCGGACCAGTCGCCACTATCATGGGGTTTCCCGGAAGGTTTCTCAGGGTGCTTCGGTGAACGTGCATGTCACTGGCTGGGAGCATGCCCCTGCCATGGAAGGTGGCTGGGCCCACAGGGATACTGGAGCCATAAATGAACGGGATCCCGAGGCCTGCTAGTCCCTTAGAATTAACTTTTTCTATTCTCCTTTGCTGGTAAATGGCATGCATTTCCATTTCCATCCTAAAAACAAAACAAAATATTTTATAAACCCAAGAAGACCATTAGGAAAATACTTTCAATGGCCCTCTGCCTTTCCTGATGTAGCACCTCTGCTTTTCCTGTAAGTCTTTAGGCCATTTATCTGAACTTTGTTGGGCATGAACGCAAATCTCCCAGAAAGCCACTGGAAGGAGAGTTCAGAGTAAGATCGGAGGATGAAGGGTTTGGCTAAGTCTCACAGTGGAAGTCCAAGGCCAGTCTTTAGAACAGTATCTCTACTCAATAAGGCAATTTTAGCAGGGATGGGGAGAACACAACACAGAATAGTTTCTTGCCAGAGATTAATCCTCAAAGAAACAAGTCCTGGAAAGAAGGTTTTAAACATTGCACTACAATTTTAGTGAGACTGAAGAAATGCAGTAGGTCTCAATTGCTAAAATTAATGACGTGGTAAGGGTAGGGGAAGGGAGGAGGAGTGGAGGGCTTGCTGGTATTTTTGCTTACTTTACTTTGCTTCTTGGTCATCACCTGAATCCCTTAGTGTCCACTGATGAGAAAGTTGACTCTGATGCCTTTTCTCACCCACAGCCATACCCTGGCCATTATTACTGTCTTCTTCTGATTGCTAAAGGCTGCTTTTAGGCTAACGAGGGGCTGTCTGGGCTCTGACGGCATAGTTTGAAGTGGGGTTGGCAAGCTTGACTCCTAGACTCCTATTTTTGGGCAGAATTGAAGTCATCTAAGACAGAATTGCCAAAATGAATTTCAAAAGAATCATAGGTAGGCGTTTAATTATGAGACATCGACTGACTATTATGATCTATGAACTTAGCTTCACTGTGTAATCTCTAATCTTGCTTTTATCCTTAACCAACCTGTGTACATGTTTGTATATGTCTCTCTTTGTAGTATTCCTGAAATACTTTTTGAAAGTAATCAGAATGTGTGTGTATATGTATATAATCAGTGAATACACATATACAAATCCCTGGAGAAGGAAATGGCAACCCACACCAGTATTCTTGCTTGGAAAATCCCATGGACACAGGAGCTTGGCAGGCTATAGACCATGGAGTCACAAAGAGTCAGACACAACTGAGCAACTAAACAACAAAGACATATACACAAATGTAACAACATATACAAAAACAACAATATACATACATAATAAATGAATGAATATATATAAAAGTATGTAAATAACATATATATATTTATATTAAATGAATACACAGACAAGTGAATGAATAGAAAATAATTAAAACAAGATTGTTACATTACCTGGCAGTATGCTGCCTTTGAATCATTTCATTCCTTCTAGCCATTGCTTTTACGGATTCAGGTGGCAAAATGCCCCAACCTTAAACAAGAAAACCACCATCTCACCCCATGAACAAATTAACAATATCCACTTGAAGATAATAAAAAGAAAATATAATGGTGTAAAACAGTATCTGCAAAAAACCACCAACGGAGCACAATTTTGGAAATGATGTCAATTCATGACTGTCAGCATCTTAGAGTCACTTTGGTAATCACATGATAACACTAAATAATTTTGGGGGGAGGGGCTGTACTGTATGGCTTGCAGGATCTTATTTCCCTGATACTGAACCAGGGGTCCTGCAATGAAAGCGCCATGTCCTAATCACTGGACTGCCAGGAAATCCCCCAGATAATTTTTTTCCTTTAAGTATGGGTCTCATAACTGGCAACGTTTTCCTACCATACTCCAAAAGGAAAAAGATGAAATTAACTGTGGATCTCTTGACTACTTGCTTTTGAAATAAAAATTGATGACTGTTTTGTTTTTTTGGTTGGGGGGGGCAAGAAGAATTAGTTGACCTTAAAAAAAAAGTAACTAAGTTCTTCCTGATGTACTGAAAACCCTGGAAATAAATACAGTGATTTAAGGGGATAAAATACGAAGTTCTCTATGTTGACTTTTTGGTGCAGCTGAGGCAAATACTTTTTACAAAACAATTTCAATGGAGTTGAACAGCAATTACATTCTTTGTGTCAACCTTTCAAAATGTCTTGAAATAATGTCAGCGTCATCAGAATTCAAGGCTCTATTCTTGCCTGGTAAATTCATGCTTATACTTATTTTTTTTTTTTAATTTCTCTGGATTCCTAACACATTTACAGTCTATGCTGGTGCTTCTCAAATCATCCATGGTGAAGGATTATTTTCTTCTTTTAAAATTTCCAACGCATCATGGACTCTTTAAAAATACATAAATGATGTTTCAGAAAATTGAAATGAAAACAAGAATGAACACAAGCAGTACTTGAAATGATCAGATTAATAGACATAAAATTACCCTGTCAAACGGCTGTAAAAGTTTCTAAACCTTTCTGTCAATGTATTTATTGTTGAAACACTTCTCAGACCAGCATAGGTCCTACAGACCACACTCTAACAATAACAGACACACAAATGACCCTGATTATACATAGTTTTGTTCAATGATAGTTTTTCATGTATAAATCTGTTCTCCCCAACAAGAGGGCTAGTATCATGAAGCCTAGAACAGATTTTATACTTGCCTTGCACCAAGCTAGCAGAGCTCATTAAACTGTTAATAACAACCTATCTTGAAGTACACCATACTCTATCTGTTTTTATGAGATTCTTTCTCAGTTGTAAAATTCAAAGGCTAGATGATGTAAACTCTAAAGCTTCTTCTGACTCTAAAACTCTATGTTTTTGTAGTTCAGTGGTTTCAAGATATGCTCCTTGAGATAGCAGGCAAGCATGAAACTGCCAACCCATGGGCTAATCCCCAAAGATGCAGAGAACGTCTGCGTAAAAAGACCAGTGCAGAGGGCACAGTTCTCATTACCTAGATTTTAGCATTACCTAGATTTTAGCATCCTGTAAAATCTGGACTCATCAAATCTATTTCAAGTTTCTTTTTCTTTCTTAAATACTTGACATCAAATTTAGTGCTAGTCCAGTTGTGATAATACAGTCTTTACCTAATATCCCAATTTTTGAAATTGATCCCTGTCTCAATTCCTTTTTTCCTAACTTAACTTAGTAGCTCGTATTTTATAGGACCAAGGCTCTACCTTGCTCTTGCTTACTCTCTTACACATTAGCCTTGGGGTGGGAGACTAACCTCTATACCTGGGACAGGTTGTCAGCCTGCCTGTTCATATCCAACTATTAGCAGTTTCTGGATTTTTAACCACTAAAAAGCTCTCTCTGGACCAGCAATGCAACTATTTCACAGGTCTGCTTATCTGTTACCTATAATTTTGGGCTATGTATTTACTGGGCTCTTGCTGCCAGAGGGGGCTACCACCCAGGTTCAGTTGTTGGGCCTGTCACACCCCAGTGGGTGCATCCAGTTTCCGATCTGGCCCTTGCTCAGACTCATCAAAACAGATCCATGCACTGTGGTATGCAATATGCTCAAATCCCGGCAGGTCAGTGTCTTCAATGGCCCTGACACCGATCATATTTCTTTTTGTCTTAGGCTTTTTACTCACATTATTCCTATCAAAAGTTGTTGGAATTGGAGAACCGGACAAACAGAAACTCATTGAATACAGTTTTGAGAAGATAAGATGCATCAGTTTGATCTTCAGTGTTGTGAGGAAATTCTCATCTCTTATTCTCTCTGGAGCCCCACATTCGTGTTTTTGTTGACACTACTCTGCTGAAATTGCTCCTATTGAGATAATTAATGACCTCTGCAAATCTACGTCTAATCACACATTCTTGGTCCTCATCTCACTTCATCTCTGAGCTGCATGCTTGACACGATTTCTTACTCTTTCCTTAAAAGCACTTTCTTCCTTGGCTTCCAGGCCTCTATCCTCTTCTGGGTTTTCTCCCACTCCACTGGTTGCTCCTTCTATATCTCCCTTCATCTTCTAGATCCTGTTGGTGTGTCCTAGGGGTCATCCTTCTAACTTCTAACTCATCCTTTTTAACTCACTTTATAAATGATCTCATCGAGTCTCATATATACTGATGATTTCCAAAGTTAATCTCCAGGTCATCTCCAGATGTCCTCTCTGGACCGCAGCTGCCTTGTGGACATCTCCTATTGATTGTCAGGTAGGCATTGCAGATGCCTGTGCTATCTCTCCCACCCCCAAAACTCTTCCTTTCACAGTCTTCCTCAACTCAGTGAATAGCAACTCCCCCTTTCCCATTTCTCAGCCAAAATTTTTTATGTCTTCCTTAACATCGCTCCTCTTCTCACATCTCATATCTAAACTCTGAGCAAATCCTGTTGTTTCTACCTTCAAAGTATTTACAGAATCAAACCATCTCTTACTATTCCTACTGTAACCACCCAGCACCAGGCCATCATCATCTTTTGACTATTCTAATAGCCCATCAACTCCCATCAGTTTAACTCCAGAACTTGAATCCTAGCAAGTTTTTCCCTAACACAGTAGCCAGAGTGATCCTGGTAAAATGTAAGTCAGACCATGTCATTCCTTTGCTCAGACTCTTCAAGAGCTTTCCCTGTTCTCCCAAGTAGAAGGCAAGTTCTCACTGGCCTATCAGACCAAATATAAACTGCCCCAGGGCCTTTTACTCTCAGATCTCATCTCCTTATGACTTCATCAGTTCCTTGTAAGGTAAGACAGATATTAATTGCAGATTTTCATGTTATTCATCAGTAAATTGATGGTTTGAGGAGTTAAGCAACTTACATAGTAGTGGAACCAAGATTTAAACCTAGGTAGTAATTGTAGAAACTGTAAGCATTATCACCATACAGTTTCACCTCCAAAATTTAGCAATAAATTTCATGACAAGCTTAATGCAGCAATTCAGTTCACAGTGGTTCCAGAGATGAGAGACATCAGTTTCTGATACCTGAGTAGACACGATTGGACAGCAAGTTTGGCATGTTTGCATTTGATAGAGCAGAAGATCCAAACTGGGAAGGAACACAAAACTGTCTTGGGTCAGCTGGTGCTACAGTAGGAGGCAATAAATCTCTAAGGAAAAAGATACAAAACAGGTAAAATGAAAATGGATTTGTACAAAATTTCCATTTCATAGCAGTGAGATTTTTTTTTTAAATTGCCATATGGGATTCTATCATTTCTTCCCCAAATGAAGTATGAAAGTCCTGCAATCTCTATTGGTTTAAGAAGAAATATGATAAGAAAAATGGGAAGGCAGGACTCTAGTATGGAAGGACTGACCCACCTGACAACATAACAGAGAAAGCAGGAAAGTTTTAGGGATGTTAGGGAAAAAAATGATCTAATCAAATCAATACCAATGTTTGATTTTTCATGACTATATACTGTTCTTGACCATAAAAGTCTTTCCTTATTTGATGAACACACTCAAGCTTGAGTTTTGCCATCTAGAATCAGTCACTACCTGGATGGACGATTTACTTCTCCAAACTTTAGTGGTCTCTAGAAGTCCAACTCTATAGTTCATGCTCCGTGAACAAGTATAATAATGAATTTTACTCTCTCCCCAGATTCCAGAATATATATTCAAAAGGAAAGAAGATAGGAAGGTGCCAGAATGTGCAACCAAAATACTGATAATTTCACTTTTATTGCAAAGAAAGAATTCTTCTATCACAGGAAACCTAGGATATCACATTGTTAGGGACTGAATTGTGTCCCCCTCTAAAATCCACAAGTTAGAAGTCCTAACCACCCCATGTGACTCTGTTTTGGAGATAGGACCTTTAAGGAGGTAATTAGAGTTAAATGAAGTCATAAGGGTGGAGCCCTTACCCAATAGGACTGGTGTCCTTATAAGAAAGAGAAGAGACACCAGAAATGCTTGCACACAGAAAAAAAGGCATGTGGGGACACATCGAAAAGGCAGCCAAGCCTGCAAGTTGAGGAGGGAAGCCTTGGGAGAAACCAAACCTGTCAGCACCTTGATCTAGGACTTTTAGCCTCTAGAACTGTGAGACATAAAATTAAGCCACCCAGTCTGTGATATTTTGTTATGGCAGCCCTAGCATACTACCCATCCTCGTTTGCACCTATGCAATGCCTGTCACATGGCAGATGCTCGTTAGCTATTTACTGAGAGAGGATGTCAAAGAGGTTTCAGAGGGGAACTTTGTTGAACATGTGGCCAGCAGACTTACTGCACCACAGTTCCTTGAGATAACATTAGACTATAAGACAAAACTGAGGTTAAAGCATTTGGAAACTTAGTAACATCCATTTTCTCCTTAGACCAGAATATCATATTGGAGAGGAATACCTATCCACACTTGGAGGTTCAAATGGTGAGGGAATCAGTGGAATTTTCTGCTGCCCTGATGCTGGCAGTAGAGGGTTCATGGCCATCATTGGATTTATCATCAATATCTCTCGCCACTGATGGAGTTCTAAAAAAAAAAAAGATAAGATATGTCAACATATACCTCCATTTTTTGGCAAACTGAATTCTTCTTGAAATGATGAACACCTTTTGTATTTTCCCAGTACTTGGGAAGAGTAGCTACACCAAGCTTTCAGTTACACAAAAACCCCTCCATTGTAAGCACCCAGATACAACTGTTGAACTCTGTGTGCCTTTGGAATTTGTTGGAGAGCCCACAGATAACACCACACCACATGACGACCAATAATAAAATTAAACCAGTTTTGCAAGACTCCAGAAGTACCATTTTCTTTTATTACAACACATTTTGATTTCTATACTTCCTGAGGCACAAATGCATGTATGCGCCCACATGTTAAATTACACACCAGTCAGAATGGCTGCTATCCAAAAGTCTACAGGCAATAAATGCTGGAGAGGGTGTGGAGAAAAGGGAACCCTCTTATACTGTTGGTGGGAATGCAAACTAATACGGCCACTATGGAGAACAGTGTGGAGATTCCTTAAAAAACTAGAAATAGAACTGCCATATGACCCAGCAATCCCACTTCTGGGCATACACACCGAGGAAACCAGATCTGAAAGAGACACGTGCACGCCAATGTTCATCGCAGCACTGTTTATAATAGCCAGGACATGGAAGCAACCTAGATGCCCATCAGCAGACGAATGGATAAGGAAGTTGTGGTACATATATACTATGGAATATTATTCAGCCATTAAAAAGAATTCATTTGAATCAGTTCTAATGAGATGGATGAAACTGGAGCCCATTATACAGAGCGAAGTAAGCCAGAAAGATAAAGACCAATACAGTATACTAACACATATATATGGAATTTAAAAAGATGGTGACGATAACACTATATGCAAAACAGAAAAAGAGACACAGATGTACAGAACAGACTTTTAGACTCTGTGGGAGAAGGCGAGGGTGGGATGTTCAGAGAGAACAGCATTGAAACAAGTATACTATCAAGGGTGAAACAGATCACCAGCCCAGGTTGGATGCATGAGACAAGTGCTCAGGGCTGGTGCACTGGGAAGACCCAGAGGGATGGGATGGAGAGGGAGGTGGTAGAGGGGATCGGGATGGGGAACACATGTAAATCCATGGCTGATTCATGTCAATGTATGGCAAAACCCACTACAATATTTTAAAGTAATTAGCCTCCAAGTAATAAAAAGAAAAAAAATAAGAAAAAAAATAAATTTGAAAAGATTAAAACAGAAAAGAGGAGGAGAATCTTCCTAAAGGCCCAAAACACATCTAATTAAAGTGAATAGAGGCTGATTTCATGACACTGTGTCTAACTAAAACAAGTTATATCCAAACATATAATACATAAACACAAGCTTTAATAACTTTATCTAGAACCTAGTGATCAGAAAATGTGACCATTGTAAAAGAGATAAAATTTTGTCTTACATTTTCTTGTTAATAATTAACATTCTTTGAATAATTTTAAATATTAAAAGAGTGTTAGTCAAACAAGTTACTTTAGCTTCTTAATCCTCAACTGTTACTTTTAAAAAAATTGAGATAGACAACTATTTTTGCGAAAAAAAAAAAAGGAAATTAGGAAGAAAATGTCCTAACTTTTCAAAGTAGCGATGTTTCTTTTTCTCTTTCTCATGCATATATTTAATTTTTAAAATAGTTAATACATTCATATGATTCCAAAACTAAAAATATAATGGTATTTAAGTAAGCAATTGGGGCTTCCCAGGTCAGGCTAGTGCTAGCGGTAAAGAATCCGCCTGCCAATGCAGGAGACATAAGAGAGGCGGGTTCAAACCCTGGGTTGGGAAGATCCCCTGGAGGAGGGCTTGGCAACCCACTCCAGTGTTCTTGTCTGGAGATCCCATGGACAGAGGAGCCTGGCAGACTACAGTCCATGGGGTTGCAAAGAGTCAGACATGACTGAAGTGACCTAGCACGCATGCATGCAAGTAAGCAATCACTTCTTCAGCTTCTTTTCCAGATCTAAACCTACTGATCAAATTGGAAATTCAAGTCCATAGGTCACTTAACATTGGCTTTCACCATTCATATATTTTTTAAAAAGTTCTTTATGTAGATTTATTTTCATTGTATATCTGGGAGGCCAATATAATTTCCTCTCTGACAGTGGCCTCAGGGTAGTGACCAGTCAGACTCAGGATAAAAATATCTGCCAGATGCCTGCCAGCCAGGGCGAGATGCCAGGAAAGAACACAGGCCAGGTATATCAGCTATGGGCTTGCATCTCTGGCGAGGACACTGTGCCGTGGCTTGGATCCTCCATATCTGAGGTTTGGTGCACAGCCATCTTTTTCATTATACAAAAGAACAATGGGCTAAGGCAGGCTGCTCGTTGGTGCTAAGTGGCTGGGGTATAGTGGGCTCTTCCAGTTTTTGGAAAAGTCATTTTAATAAAGGCTTGAGAACTCTCTTCTTTCACTGTGGGAAATAATAACAACAACGTCGCGGGACACAACTTGATGTTTCCTTTTGAAACATTACTGAACATTGATTTGTGTCATGAATTGACAGATTCTGGTAGAAGTTTGAACTTAGCTATGAGTGAGACAGAATCTTTGAAGCTATAATGTACCATGTTCATCTTGCAGGTTATGAGATGCCTGAGACCAATTTGGAGGAAGGAGAAGGCAGAAAGGGAGCAGTACAAAATCCCTCCAGATCAAGCATTGCCTGGAGGCTGACCACCCTGCTACCTCACACATGATACCACAGGGAAGTGCCATGGAGGTTAGTTAACCAAAAGTTGATGAGATCATCTCACTTTGGGATTCCTCCAAAGCAGGCTGGGCCAAGGACTTGAATGCAGGTAAGGTGGTGCAGTGGTAAAGAATCTGGCTGCCAATGCAGGAGATGCAAGAGGGTTCAATTCTTCTGTCTAGAAGATCCCTGGAGGAGGGCATAGTCACCCACTCCAGTATTCTTGCCTGAATAATCCCATGGACAGAGGAACCTGGAGGGCTACAGTCCATGGGTTTGCAAAGAGTCAGACACGACTGAGCACACACATACAAACACATACACACAATTCCTTTGGGAGGGGAATCCCCGGAAGCCTATTTGAGGGAGTAGGTAAGTGAGACCAGGGAGGGAAGAAAGCCCACAAGAGGTGAGTTAAAGTGTGAGTTACCACTATGGGCAACCCTGCTGGGAATACTCTAAGGAAAAAAATTATGTACACACCTCATAACTGTCCCAGTGGAAGACATAGAGTTGGCCATTTACCCTTTGATTTGTGTCAGCCCCTGCTGGAGGGCACAATTCTCCCTTGTACCCAGGTTATGTCTAAGCTAGACCCAACTAGCTCCTACAGTGTGGGTGAAAGCCTTCAGTCTGAAGCAGAGAGAGACTGGTGCTTGAGATGGGATATGGCCTCTGTGGTTACAGGTGAACTCAGAAAGGTGTAATGGGGTTAAGACAGCAACGATGTGTGGTTCTGTGAGGCCAGGTGATTACCTTCTAATGTCATTCCACCGGATAATCGACACAAATGCCTTTCTTCTGGACCTCCGGATTCTCCAGGCAGAGGCATATTTCTACAAGGCTCTGTAGGGTCCATCGTCTGCAATCACACAGCATGATTTTTTTCAGTTATTCATGTGTTCAGTGAAACAAGTGAGGAACTCAAGGGTATCAGGCCAATGGAGTTGAAGAAGTGAGGCATCAGAGATAAGCCTCATCCAAAGCCCTCCTTGGTACCATACCTGTTTTGGATTCCACAATGCTTGGGTTTTCTTTCTTTCCTTTTGTGCAATACCAGGGGGACTGAATATAATCTATAAAATTTTGTGACCCTTCTGATATGGTTTTATTATTTTTAATTGGCCTACCAAATTTTTACTTAAAATGTAAACTATTCCAGAGTCTGGGGAAATGTCTCTATGTCAGGAAAGTCCCTGGGAGGACAAGGAATCATTGGCATCTACTACAGTTGAACGTGACGGTACGGGCTCCTCTTGGCTTCCCTACTTTCTGTTCATCTTTACACTTGTGAGCAAGTGTTCGTTTACATATAACTATAGCATCTCTTGTTGCCCCCATTTTTTTTTAAAACCATTGCCCAGTGCTATAGACCTCATGTCTCCCCTCAAAATTCATAGATTGAAACCTAATCCCCAAAACAATGGTATTTGGAGGTGAGGTCTTTGGGAGGTGATTTTGGTCATGAGGGTGAAGCCCTCACGTATGGAATTAGTACCCTTAGAAAAGAGACTTCAGAGAGTTCCCTCAACTTTCCCTCCACATGGTACACAGTGAGAAGAAGGCCGTCTTTGAACGAGGAAGCAGGCCCGCACCAGACACTGAATCTGTCAGTGCCTTGATCTTGGACTTCTTTGCCTCCAGGGTTCTGTAAGCCACCCAGACTATACTATTCTGTTATAGCAGCCTGAATGGATGAAGAGACCTTTTAATGTTGTACCTGTTATCTTTTGAATGTCCCAAATTTCATATATGTATATTTTATAATTATATATCTATTTATTTTTACATAGACATTATTTTTTAGAGCAGTTTTGGGTTCACAGCAAAACTGAGTAGAGAGTAGAAAGAATTCACATGTACCTCTCCCCTACACATGCATAGCCTCCCGACTATCAATATCCTGCAACAGAGTCTTACACTCATTACAGTGATGCACCTACACTTGCACATCGCTATTACCAAAAGTCCAAAGGTTAGCTTACGGTTGGCTCACTCTTTGGGTTGTACATTCTTTGGGTTTTGACAAATGTATAATGACATGCTTCCCCAGTGGCTCAGTGGTAAAGAATCCACCTGCCAAGCAGGAGATGCAAGTTCGATCCCTGGGTTGGGAAGTCCTCCTGGAGAAGGAAATAGCGACCCACTCCAGTACTCTTGCCTGGGAATCCCATGGATAGAGGGGCCTGGCAGGCTACAGTCCATGGGGTCACAAAGAGTCAAACACGACTGAGTGACTTCACTACAACAACAACAAGAATCCACCATTGTAGTTTCATATAGAATAGTGTCACTACTCTAAACCTAATTCTCTTTTAAAGCAAATGCACTTCTAAGGAAATATTCTGGGGTTGACTATAACTTTCACTTTACCAGCCAGGTAGATAAATATATGAAACCCCAAATGTATGTTTCTACGAACTCACCATTTTGGAATCCCGCAGTCATGGATCTACCCCTGAGTCTTTAAGCATTAACTTTCACATTTTCGGGGTACCTTCTTCTACAGGTAGACAGTTTATGAACCAAGGTCACTTTGCTGTGGCAGATGAAATGCTCTTGAGTCAAAGTGTAGACTGGGATATCTGTTCTGAATGCAGAGCGTGTCTGGTAATCCCCAATGTGAGAATGCACTCATGCTTAGGTTTGCATTCGGGCTGGATTTCTTTGACCTAGAGCTCTAATCCTGGATGTCCAGCACTTTAGGAGGATGAAGACTCCTTAATCCCTGTCTTCAGACTCTTACCCTCAACAAACCCCTCCAGGCAGCACACAGACGATTTAGCCAGTGCTAATTCTGTCTCAACTGATTAGGACAGTAGCAGTAAGACATGAACTCCATGAACTAAAGCCCTTGCCGAATCAGCAGATATTGACTTGAGTGCTCCTACTGCCGACAATGCTTGCCTGCGCACAGCACCCAGGTGCCAATTCCATTAAATTTCTTTACGTGGCTTTACTCTGACCATTTGTTAAAGTCAGGACAATTTGAGTTTGGCCAACCCTAAATTTGAACAAGCAAGGGGATCCAACCAGTCCATCCTAAAGGAAATCATTACTGAATAATCATTGGAAGGACTGATGCTGAAGCTGAAACTCTAATATGTTGGCCACCTGATGCAAAGAGCTGACTCATTTGAAAAACCCTGTTGCTGGGAAAGATTGAAGGCAGGAGGAGAAGGGGACAATAGAGGAGGAGATGGTTGGATGGCATCACCAACTCAATGGACATGAGTTTGATTAAACTCTGGGAGTTGGTGATGGACAGGGAGGCCTGGCGTGCTGCAATCCATGGGGTCCCAAAGAGTTGGACATGACTGAGTGACTGAACTGAAACTGAAAATTTGAACAATTATCTATAGAATACTTGTTGCATGTATGATGCATAAATCCTGGAATTATACTCATTAAGATAAATTAATTTTTAAATAGCTGCTATAGTTGGTAAGTTTTTACATTTGAAAGGTGACCAGTAGAATTAAATATTTCTACAATTCTGAGAAAAATAAATACAAATTAAAACTAGAGGGAGATACTCTGAGAGGTCTTTTGTTCAAGTTAAAAAACAGTCCTTAGTAGCTTCATATATTTACTATTCTAGGTATCCTATATTAATGTGAGTTCTAAAAAGCATGTTATTGTTAAAGTGTAATTCACATGCCCTTAAGTATATTTTCAATGTTTTAAAGAAATAAATGGGAGGTCTTTTTTTTTAATTAAGAAGGCCAAGAGAGCTGCCCCAAAGCACCTCATGATCAAATACTTTTAGCAGAAAACCTAGCTATGAGAAGAGAGATCATAGCAACTTTTCATTGATATAGTTATAAGTGTAACTGTATTCATTGATATAGTTAGAAGTATAGTTAGAAATAGAAATGAAGAGTCTGTTTTTATAACCAATAGGAAAACATTTTAAAAAATAATTATTTAATTCTTGTTTAATTGTATAAAATAAAAATAATTGTATTGATATTCAAAATACATTTGTTAATTGAAATAAAGTTTAAGGTAAAACTAGATCGATAATTGGCATAAAATATTTGACTGTTTCTAAATGTAGATACACATATTTCCTGAAGTTTACATGGGAATTCTGAAATTATCCAAGCACTTATCTGAAGTAGAAGAAATACATTTAAAATATCTTCAACCCAAACATGCAGCATGCTCATTGATAACAGGATGAATGAAATTGCTCCATAAAATCTGAGCAGCTGATGATGTCACCTTCAGACCCCACTCTACATCTTCCCCAAAGCTCTGCCCAACCCTTGAGATTTCATCTTGGTGGGTGCTCGGATTCTGAGTTTATGCCCCCTTGGGGCTTCCCATCTACTGCCTCAGCTTTTCTCTCCCATCTGCTCCGCACTGATTCAGAATGCAGTCCACTTCCCTTAGTATCCACATAAAACCACTCATGCAAGGTAACATGTGTGTGTTGCTGACTTTACTGAGGTCTTGGCCTATTGGGGAGAGGATGTGTCAAAGACAACTTAAAATTGAACATTAGACTTCTCCATTGTGAAACATTCCTTTGGGCAATTTTGACAATGCAAATCTGGCTTCTTGCCTTTTTTTTTTCTTTTTTTTAGCTTTCTCTCAGCTGCTACCCCAACTCCTACGCAATTTCTCCCACTTTATTTTACAGAAGCATCTCTAGCCCCTCACCTTGGTCAGCTCTGAGCCTTCTGTCATGAGCTTTTGACTCTGGTCTCTTCATATCTTCTTCCTCTCCTCATGTTTGCTGAGGATAGGGGAGAATTTTACAGATTTCTCTTCCACTGGTTTGATTTATACTGCTAACATCTTCCTTTAGAAGGCAATAGGCTTAATTTTGGTTTTAAAAAATCATAAGCACTTTCTCTGTTATACAGGCACAGTATAAATGAAAGTGAGTTAACACTACAGTGGCAAGTAGTACTGACAACAAAACAATTAATACTGAGGCAGCTGGCAGTGGCCCTGAAGTATATTTCACTTTTTCTGAGGGCACAGACTTTAGCAACTCTTCTAAATGCATCATATCACAGCACTTCCCTAGAAAGAGTCGTTGGAAGACAGATGGCTTGCGCGTGCTGGCCTCACCTTCTATTTCTTTTCACTGAGGAAGCTCATTGTCATCTGATCCATTCATGGCTTCTTGAATGGAAAAGTTTTAGGTCTATTTTAAGTGTTATAATGAAAAGGGGTAAATTTTTGTCATCATTAAGTATGTATAAATTATGTAATGTCTTTTCTTCTTAAAATCCACATAATTTAAGTGCTACTATAGTTTATACACATCATGTTCATTTTCTTCAAAAGATTGTGAAGCAAACCCCACCATATGTAAATTTGTACATAAAGTGAAATTCTAGCAGTTCTCATATAATTGAACTGAATTTTAGATATTTTAGTTAGATCTTTTAAAAGAGTTAAGAAATATTAACAGAAGACATTTTTTCCATGATTATCACTGATTGTTCCTCAATGATTTTTTTTCCCCCAAATTTTCGACTCTGTCATTTCATGGTCCATACATCATGACAGGTTTTTGTGCATAGTTATCTGCAGTAATGGGAGGTCATTAAAGTAAGAATGGGAAGTAAACATATAGCAGTAACACACAGGGGCAGGTACTTAATCTACTTAAAGATGATAAAACACTTTACAATAAATTTACATGCAACTTTGAAGTGATTTTATTTCAAACAATCCTCCTCTTACTTTTACTTAAACAAAAACAAACTAAATCAAAGCAGCATCTATTTATTTGGCAGGAGCAGTATAGCAACTTTACTCTTTAGTAACTTCAGTCAAATAAGAAGTTTTTAGCTAACATACTGTTAACGAAATCAATAAAATTTATAGATAAATCTA